CGGCCAAAGCATCCAGCGTGATGAAGTCACATGAAAACCGGACTTTGAATGTTATAGAAGGTTATGGATAAATAATCAGGTCTGTGATATATTATTAACCCCTCGACATGGGACCTAAAAAGATATCTGAATCGAGAAGACTACATAAATTATCTTCCTCGCTGTAGCAAAGACGTTTGTGATATGAAATGCGATCATGTTAGCGGACATTTAACCAAATCGTGGAGGAACATGTAGATCGGACTCGACTGAACGGCGGAAATCGAGCCTACAGCAAACAGTAAAAAAACAACCCCCCCNCAGAAAAAAAAAATTACCCTCGACCCTCGACATGGGACCCTCGACCCTCGACAAATAGATAGACTCAAATAGGCGTGGGTGACTAAGCGTTCTTTTTTTCTTTTACTCTTCGGGGAAAACTGATATAAACGCGATACGTGTGATTCTTTCCTATAAGAGCATAGCGACCATAAAATTAACATAAAACTCATCAAAATCTATCTTAATCGCCTGCAGCTTTTAATTTCAGTTGCGATGGTGACGGACTGAAAATAATATCACTCTGTTTTTCATTTTCTAATCTCCGCTGTGACACTTTGTAAACAATCTGGAACGTTTGTCCGGGATAAGATTTCGCATGTCACACAATTTAAGTTTTTACTGGTTACGTTACATCTTGTCAAATAATTAAAGTTTCGAGCTTGTTGTAGCTGTTGTGTATAGCGAACTCAACATAACGTGACCATTTACTTTATTCCAAATATTGTTGTACAAGATGTCCATGGAATTTCGAATTCTATTAATGAACATAAAATGCCATGCGCGAAGATTGTTGACTCATTGTTTGAAAAGCTTAGCGGTCTGTGGGTTAGGTATTATTCGCAATCTCCATTTCACAGTAAGACTAACTTGACTAAAAAATTGTTTTCGTTTTCGACTAAAAAAAGAGCTACTGTACATCGAGAGACTGAAATTGTTTGATGGAAATGTATTGTAAAAACGAACTGCCTTAAAAAGCTATAAAACTAGATCCCACGATTAAAAAAAACACATTTCATTCTCTTTTAAATTAAATGTCTCAAAAGATAGATACCCCCTCCCCCCCCCCCCCGCAATAAATAACTCTTTCTCTTAGGCTATGTCCATATGTATACGCTTAAATATGTTTTTATACATTTGCACCTTTCGGTCCACACGTAAATAACTTTTTTTAACGATCACAGCAACGGAATATTTTTTTTATAAGTTTTTAAACGTTTCTAAACGTACAACTGCTACCGTGAGATCGCATGCTCAATGCAGATTTAATGTCAGTCTCGTGCGCCCGCGTTTACAACGAATTTTAATGATTGCTTTTCTTGTTCTCATGTGGACGGGCGTTCACATCCTCGGAAACCCAGGGGACAGCTATTCGGGACGAAGAGATATTTTCGGGCGAAAGATTACATCAAGAGCGGGAGATCCCCTGGACACTTACTCTAACGGGACCAGTTCCAGAAACGTTTGAATTCCTTCCCACTGATTGGCTAGAAAAAAGTTCTGGCCAATCAACGAAGAGGTCAAGACGGGCGTCTTACACAGAGTGGTTTTCCTCATCCATCTTCGTAGTTGCTCTGCCAGTACAACGGGAAGACTCTCGTGGAGAGTTTCAGAAAAAAAAGATTTAACGAAGCCGAGAAACTGCCTACGAGCTCTCTCGCTCTTGAAGCAAACTTTTGCCCGAAAATATCGCGTCTTCCCGACTAGCTACCCCTAGGTCTCCGAGGATGGGACATACACTATCCGTAAACGATTTCCGGTCTTGCGTGGTTGAAAAACTGTATGCGCTTATAGCCGTAAAGTCCCGGCCAAACAATCACAACATATCAACACAACATATCGCAACATCATTGGCCCAGCATTTGCAAGCTCCGGCCAAACGATCGTAACATTTCGGCACAACATATGGCAACATTGTTGAGCGCAACATGTTGCGCGTTTGGCCACCCTGTTGCGACGTGTTGCGACCTGTTGGGTATTGAAAATCGAACAAGTGCGCATGCCCTACGAACCTGGCCAAACGACTACAACATCATGCAACATCCACAAATATTGCATGGAAAATTTGACCAGTTTCAAATTCGAGCCAACAACACACAACATGTCGCAACAGGGTGGCCAAATACACACAACATGTTGCGATATATATGTTGCGTTGAAATGTTGCGATCGTTTGGCCGGGGTTTAAGCTCTTAAACGCTCTTAAGCCTTGTTTAACTAGAAATCTTAGCTAATTAATATTAGTAATAGACGGGCACCAAAATAGATCATCCTAACCCTAAGTGCTACCGTGGTGGAAGCAGTCTGTTTGATTCTTGTTTTTCTTTTTCATTTCTTCCGTAACTTGTGATCAATTTCATAAATTTCCTAAGATCCAATGAACACGCTTTGCTAACCTTCCAAGATTCCCTGGTTCGGTACGATTACAGCGAGGCAAATAAAATTTAATACTAAAAGAACTGTTCACGTGAAAACACCAGCTGAAACAAAATACTCTGAGCTTCCAACAGGAGGTCGAAGGTCTTCTTTCTCCAGAAAGCGTAGGGGGAGTTGCACTAGGTACCCTCTGACGCCTCTCAGACGAGCACGTGCCTCTCCGGGGTCCTCCACAGCAAGGCGTTTAAGATTCTGAAATGATAGCATGATAGGAACTTGTTGAGTTACATGTAAACACTGTTACACAAAAATATGGATAAATTGTTTCAAACTAATTTCAAACTTAGATCAAGGCTGCTGCCTAACGGGCGCCCGGTCGCCTGAGGCGCCTAAGTCACGAGTGCGGGCGACTTAAGTTTTGTTCAAGGAGCTCGCGTGGGCGCCTAAACATGGAGTTTTCATTCCCATCTAATCTGTCCGATGACTTCAATCTTCTCATGAAATCGGCCAAAAAATCATTCACATAATAAATTAAACGGAAAACAACAGCTACTCTGGTCCTGTTTTGCTTTTAACACGACAAATATGGGCCAAAACACGGCAACAAAGTCTCTCTCCGCACAAGAAACAACCAAAAACAGCCATATTTGAAAATCGCCCTACAATGCATTGCAAGCTCAGTACTGAATAAATGCAGGTCATGTATGCCAATGGATTGTGTCCCTGTTGATGCCCTACTGATTTCAGTTGCAAAATAACTACTTTGATAACAAATATTTTTGGAATTAGAGTGATGCTGCTGCTGACATTATATTTACAATTGAATAAGGATAAATTCTTGGGCTTTTTTTTGTCCGATACTCTGGAAAACTTCACTTAGCTGTACTGAATGAATTTCTGTAGTTTCTGAAAGGATATTTATGACTTAATTAAAGTCGAAATATTCGACTAGCTAGCCAGCAAAAAGAAAACACCATTGCAATTCTTTTTGCATACCAGGGTTTTATATTTTAAATTATCAAACGAATCGTCGCGACTCCGCCCAATATAAGAGAATATATTTTCTCCAAAGAAGCAGCCAATACAATGCGGTGATGCTGCCTAAAAAAAGCATCTTTTGTTTATACTTATGTCCTCGAAGCCCGGGGAAGGAAAGCACATTTCAGTGAGGCCAAATTCAAACGCCCCAAATGTCTATTTCATTTTCATTTGTTTTCATTTGCAGCTTGCATTTCATGATTTGTTTAGAATTGCTAAACTCAAAACGAAAGAGGCAATATAAATTTTTGTACAAAAAAGCTGCAGCACTTGCATGGATACACCAATTATTGAATTTGTTTGACCACAAATAGTATTCTTTCTCAGTCATGACCTGATCACTTTGCTGAACACTTTATTTCAAAAATTTGATTGATATAATAGACCATATTAGTGTCTCATGCAAAATCTCTGCCTCCGGACCCCTCCCCTAAATTTCCAAATTCACTCCGCCCCCTCTCCCCCCAATCTTCCCCAGTCTTGCCAACCCCCTGGATTGACCACGGCAAATTTATTCTGGGCTCCTAAAAAAGTGGCTTGGGCTCTTAACTTTTAAAGTTAGGAGCCCAAAGAGCTCCTTAAAAATTTCCTTAGGCAACAGCCTTGTAGATAACGCTGAAAATAAAGAAAAGACACTGTTCTTTCAATTGTAAATTCCACGAGACTTATTTTTTAATGTTTAATGCATTGCACGAGCTTTCCTCGCAGGGCTTGTGGTAAACAAGAAAATTATAAAGAACGAACATACTATGCGAGATTCCATCGGAAACCACTCTGTAGCCTTATTTGTATGCAGTTAGTACAGTCAATCATGAGACAACTTTTCTTTTATCCAACTTACCTTGTAAGTATTCAAATCGCTTAACGAGCGTACAGTATCAGTTGGAATGCAGTGGAACACCTTCGAAAGAGAAAATAATCAAATTCGGTGAAAACCGTGTTCAGAAGGCAGTTCAAGAGGAGACTGAGAGGCATGTGCGAGACTTCTGAGGAATATAGCTCTAATGAGTGAATAAAGATGGTGAATTTTTACATTCCACTCTCTAAGCTCTGCCTACAGGCTCGTCCATCCATAACGTCTTCACAAAAAGGAAGCAACTTGATGTCAGTTTTGAAGCAGAGTTCAATACCGAACTACTCAGGGCCGAGTGCGGAAGGAGAATGGTTTGCTGATTCGATTGTGTATGAGCCGTTCCTGGTCTTCAATGGTGCTGTTATGGTGGATTATAGACGCATCAGCCATCTTTCTTATCAGGCTTATCAGGAGCTGAATGCAAGCGAAGCCTCACTGTACAATGGCCTGTACAACAGTTTATTCTTTTTGCAAATTTTGTTTGTTCATTTACTGTTTTTAATGTTCGTTCAATAAAGAGTTTCTAGTTAGCAAAGCGGTATGAAATATACTGACACGGGAATGATAAAATTTACTATAACAGGCTAAACATTGATTAATATTTTACCGGTACGGAATAAAAATCTGGATATGAGCATAGTGCAAGAAAACAAGGAGCGAAATATGACACGATTTTCAATCAGAGCACCACACGCAACTTTCTGCAACGTTGATCAAGTTCTCCCTGTTTTGCGAGAGTATCATCATTTTAATTTATTTCTCTTTTGTCACGGTTTTTTTTAGTTCTAACATTACGCACCTTAAAGCTGGCAGTACAAGCAAAACAAGTTTGTTAGGTTTGGTTTTTGGTGAGGAGAGAAAGGGGCAGCCATTGGAAATCAAACAGCAATTCGTATTTCTCCCGTGGCTTCTATCTATATCGGTTGCAGTTTCAAGGCTAAGTTTGTTAAAACCAAACTTCAACGATCTCTTGATTTGTGATTCACTTCTGTGTTCGGCTGTGACAAAGCTACATCTCAAGGGGGGGAATCAGAATTTTCACTTCCAGAGGAAGTGTCTGAGGGCCAACACATCTTTTAAAAAAGAAGTTCTGCATCAAAATCACTTCTCACCTCCTCGTAAATTTCTGTGTTTTTCTTTGCTGTGGCCATCCAAACATCCTGTTTTCAGAAACAAAACAAATCTTCCAAACTCCTGTGCCTAGAGTACAATTTCTTGTCATTTTGTAATAAACGCAAGTAATAAGACATTTTAGTAGATGCTTAGATGTTACGAGTTTTGTTTACAGCTGGCACACGCGACGATTCCGACAAGCTTGTGACGTGAATTGTTTGTCTAAATCAAAGCTACAACTTTTCTCAATAGTCACGTCACGCAAATATCGGAACCGAACCAGCAGAACGTTAATAAGAATTAGAAAGAGCTAACAAAATAACTTAAGAAGTCGACTGAGTTCTGCTAAGGTTACCTCATAAAAACTGTCTGAAACAACATCCCTTATGTCTTCATCTGAAGGACAATCCAATGTACCAAGATGTTCTCTGAGAAATAACAAAGCAAAGTGATTGCCGAGTGTTTCAAATCGAAACAACCTGACGAAACGCACTGAGTTTTAAGGGTTTTTTTCCGACTTAGTCGCTTTCGAGGTCTTTCACTTATGTTTGAAATTCAGTCACTTAGGACAGGTGTCCGCTTATGAGTTACATGTGTGGAGTTTGTGAGTGGCTGAAATCATGACTAAGAGTCCACTTAGCTGTCTACCTACGGAAGAAGATCGACTGAGGCTGAAGCACAACAAACTGTTTCAGCTGAAAAGAGTTGCCAAGGACAGGGAAAAATGGAGATCTCTTATGGACGACATATGTTCTAATGGGATTTAGAGGGTTTAAGGCTGAGTCAAGTAAGTCAGCGGAAGGTGTTCGTTGACGCCTGTTATTTGACTGTAATAAGAACTGCAGGTACAAATGCGTCTTTAGTTCAAACTCAAAATGTTAATTCTCATTGCTGAGTTCCGTACATTTCTTTCCATTTTAGTTCTGAGAATCTGTACCCTCATCAAGATACGCCCTTGTTGGAAAATTGCGCTTTGCTTGCCATCTGCCTGTTTGACAATTTATTGTTGTGACGTGCCGATAACGCTGAACATTACCTGAAGAGCCGTGATCTCAGATTGAAGGCGAACTGGCCAGCTTGGTACTCCTTACCGTCCATAACTGACGGTACCTGGTAAAGAAATTAACGATCATTATAATTCGAAATTAACGGCCATACAAAAACACGTGCGATGAGCGGACATCAAATGGATAGCGCATTGGATATCGAATCTGAACGGCCGGCTTTAAATTCTGGCCATTATCCTACTATTGTATTCCAGGGAATTTTCCGTTGGGCAAGAAACTACGCCCAAAGTATCTCTCACCACCCATGCCACTACTGATACTCGATATCAGCTGGATGAACTATACAATTTAGTGAAGATTAGATTTGAAACTTACAAATTCTCTGTCCTTTATAATAGCAGCTATTTCTGAATCCCTCTTTCCCAGCATGCTGCGGTCATTGATGTTGGCTGAGATGGACAAAACAAAGTGTAAGTCAGGAATTATAACCAACTCACATCATTATAAAAAATATTGCGGACACCAGAACTTTGCAACATACAGCCTTTCATTGTGCGGTATACTCGTTATTGGTAAAGTTGTAAAGATCAAATTTTCCTGAAAGCCGCACATCTGAAACAGAAGAAAACATATCTTGAACATCTAAGTATCTATGGTTCCCGGTGTTTAAGCGAAAAAGTTTTCGTCGAGCGTCAGCGTAGCCACTGTGGACTGACTGCTCAAAGGTGAGTCAGCGTAAGTGAGGAGAGGGTTCAACGCGTGAGAATGGCAAAGTGGTACGTAAATTCAGGTGATTAAAGGTGAACACAGATATTGGAGACTCGTGTAATAACCTTCGTGTGCACGTTGTTCTGTGTACTTAGTTCTCTGGTAGGAGTCAGTATAAAGCACATGTTGTTATAGACGTTGAGTTACCTGAACCAATGATTACGATGTTGTCGTCGACAATCATCATCTTGCTATGAACATAAACTAACTCTGTTGCCTACAATCAGACAAACACAGGTAAATAAGCAACAGACTCAGGACTTCATCACATACGAAAAGACACATATACTGGTAATTCACTCACGGGCGTTCCGTGTATTTCCGAATGAGTCCTCAGTCCATAGAATGAAATATACTTGGAGGGGTCACCAACTGAAGACAAGAAAAACATTGAAAATAAAAAGTACACGTTTCGTGCAGTTTTTAAGCTAAATTCACAGTTCTATTTTCTTCCGCTTCGCTCAACCGTATAAAAAACATTTCTATGATAAGTAAAGGAGACAAATGACACAACAAATAGTGGAGGGAGCCGCCAGCAATCGAGTGTTTTTTAACAAGAATCTGAGACACGTTGAATACGGGTTACAAGCCAGAGAATGTAAGAAAATGTTACACGCTATTTTAGACAAAGATATTTTTAATAAGGAAAAAACAGCCTCGAACAGGCGTCAAGTGGTTTGATTTTCACAACGAGTGGTGTATAAAGGTCTGATTATCCCAGTGGGAAATAGTACAATACAACCTAATTTAACACCTAAAAGAAATAAATTTTTTCCAACTTACCAAGTTCGGCCAATCTCTGTAGCAGCGAATGAGATGCTCGGCAAATTGATCTGCAATTCCAGTGAGTAATAGCACCAATTGATCGACCACTGGCTGTGCCAATTTCGCCTAAAAAAAACAAACAAAAAATGTATGCTGGGCTCGAACAAGTGCAATCGAAAACCTGAGCTGTTCAGTTTATTTTGTGATAAGTACGGGTTGTAAAAAGCCAAACAGATTCAAGAATTGAGTAATTCATACACACCACATGCCTTCTCTTACTCGCTGTCTCGGCTGTCCACTGATAAAGGACTTACCTTCAAATGCTGGAAGCAGCGGCATGACGACAATAACTTTAAACTTTTCACCTTCTCTGTTGATAAAAATGGTGAAATACTACAATAACCGTATATGTCGATCTCTTTTTAAAAGGAGAAATGTTTTAGAAGGATTTTCAATGCCGCAGTGCTTTGACTTGAAGTCAGGGTCTTAACCCTTCATTTCCTAATTTGCTTCACAATTGTCGAAGTTATAGAACATTGCTCTTGAGAGTGTTGCTTCAATAGTAAAAAACGTGCAGGATTCCATTCTTTCTATTCTAAACGGACCAAGTCAATTCCTTGCGAAATGCGAGTCGGATCAATACTTGTAGATCACGTCTTGAGTGATATATAAGTATTAAACTCTTGAAGATTTAGAGGCAGCAACACGTTTCAATAGGAGATAATTTTCTATTCCGTTAATGCCCCAACGACAAATTGTCTACATAGTTGTCGAAATGCTGAATACAGGGTAGAAATTTAAGTGACAAAGTAAGGAAAAACTGAAAACAAACCTGTGCGCCCTCTCTATTCGCCAGAGTAGATTCTGACCGATCTCATTCTTGATGTTGTCGATGAACAGAGAAGAAATGAAGAATTGGTTCTACAAAGCAATGAAGCGAGAGTTGCGGAGATCACTGCCTCGTATCCAGGCGTCGCGGTTCATACGCTGACATTTTCGTAAGCGCAAGGCCGGGAACATGGGCAATTTGAGCTCTTGAGGGTTTTCGTGCTCGGCCGAAAACACCGGTAAGGGCCCAGACACAACGGAGGGGTGGGAAGGGAAAGTACAGTGTCTGGAAAACGTCGTAAACTAAACCACTTCCATTTGGAAACGGTCCATAAAGAGTGAAAAACAATTAGGATGTTTGAGTATCTTCTTTTACTGACAGAACAATGATCACATGTTCAGTAATTTAGTAGTGATCATGGCTGCATTTTGCACAGCAGGGAAAAGCTAATTCAGTCTGGATTTGCGTAAACTTCGAGTTCAGTTTTATAACGCTTCACGTTTCGTGTTTGCTTTTGTTTCTTTGCTCGTTGAAAGTCGATCACACGAACTCTCCAACTGTGAAAGTGTTCAGTTCAGTTTTCGCAAGATTCATCATAATAATGATAATACCACGTGCCAGGTATTCCACACTGTGCGTCTGATAACTGCACTATCTTACCTCGATGTAAATGAAGTGCTTAGATTCTTCAATAGCCTGAATATAGGCCTCGTGAATGGAGCTTTCTGTGGGGACACCGCCTGACCACGTAGATAGAGAACGGAGAATCTGACAAAATAATTTGAAAGACGACAAAGTTAGCAGTAGATAGAAATTATTTCACAGACAAGATTTGAGAAAACATGATAGGTCCCAATAAAAGTACAATTTTCATGCCTTTTGCGGCTGAAATAGGGAGTAATGGTTCAGTTTCAGAAGTTAGAGAGGAGAAGAGCTCTCTCGTGGAATAGTCTGTCGCTTGACTGAAGCAAAGCAAGCCATTAATTTAACTTCTTTTCGTAGCATTGTATCGATCTTAAACACTTTTAGTAATAGTAATAATGATAATGATAAAAATGATAATGATAATGATCATGATCATGATAAATCACTATCTATAGTTAGCCTAGTATATATTAAAACTGTGAGATGGATATGGTGGGTAAATAAAGATTATGTTATTAATCACAGACACACCCTGATTCCTTCTCTCCACCCACCCCCTCGGCCCTCTTCCAAAAAATCTCTCCAGTCCCTTTCCTCTCGCCATTACTTAACTCTTTCCTCATTGACGTGGTTTACGATTTACCTAGTTACACAGATTAACTTTTGCTGTCAGCTCAGTTGGAAATGTGACACAAAAGATCGCTACTAACTTGACAATCCACCATGTTAGCACTGTCTGCTGCCGCTGGTCTCTTGTTTGTAAGTTTTGCGTATGACTTCGGCAGCAGGTAAGGTATGTCGGGAATTATTTTGACTTTTTCAATCTGGAAAAATATATATTACGTTGTAATCATGAAACAAATACAAGGGAAAGAGAAAGAAATAGTACTCAATTGTACTAGCAGCGAAGTAAAGGTAATCAACGTTTCTAGAATAACCAATACTTCTCATTTTTGCAAAATTTGATTAGATTCCCAGAAATATATAAAAAGTTCGTAGCTGGATTTGGGGATGGCGCCGCCGGTCAGCCGTAAGGCATGTTACTGGCTGCGGTGTTCTTCCTTGCAAAGACTAAATCGAATTATTTTTTACTCGCATGTAGTCGTCCATGCTTGGCCTGAAACCAGAGTGAAGTAATCTCGGGTCATTTCCATCGAACACACTGCATTAATTCGTTCCTATTCGACCTGATTTCCTCATTTGAAATACAATAAACTTACCTCACACAGTAACTATAAACTGTTCTAAAGTTACAAGATAAGTATTCGTCACTTTTAATGTTAACCGTTACTCTCTGAGTGTGTCTCGACGCCCTTTACCCTATGTATAGACTTTTTTCTTCGAATTTACCTTCGTCAACAATGAATTTTCCAGTTCTTAATTTCAATCTGGAATGAAATTTACCTTGGTAGCATTCCATCTAAGAATGAAATGCCTTGCAACGTCTCTCGCTGGTGCGCCAAACATTCGCATGCCAACATCATGCCACGGCATTCGAGGAACAGAACCTCTGTCAACAGAGTCTAAAAAAGGAATTGCATGATAGATAAGATAAACATATAGATAGTTAATCTAGTTAATTATAAAAGTTTATCTATACACTGAATGTCCACTTTGGATACAAAACCTCAATAAGTCGAACCAACATGGCGCTGTTGTGTCATTTAAATACACGAAAGTCTGTACTAAGAGGTCAACACCTTATCGCGGTAGGGGCGGATTGTGCGTCAATAACCCCTTGAACTATGTCAGCTGGAGTCTTGTACGCCTGATTCAGCCACCCATGCCGAAAAGGTCGACTGGTTAAGACCAGACGCAGTGCAGATGATTTTCTGGTGCTCCAGGCTGAGGGTTGGGTTAGGTTGCTAGTCCACTCTTGTTAAAATAAGATTGTTACGGAAACTTAAGACATCCAAAACTCCAAAGCCAAAAGCCAAAAGCGTCCATCGTGAATCCGACGCTGAATACTAGTAAGGAGAATGCCGGTGACAATCATTGAAGACGGTTGAAGTTTTAGCAACATGGAAGAGGATGGGAAATGAATGATAAAGCCTTACTTTCCTTACGGCATTGAGAGCCGGGGAGGGAAGTAGTATACAAACGGTCATATAAGCAGATACACTACCCCCCCCCCCCCTATCAAGAGTTTACACCATAGCACATTATTGTCTTGGTGTAAGCAATTACCTTTTTGTTTTGGTTACGTTTCTCGTGATCTAAAACCTTGCACTGTGCGCATTGCCATTCAAAACAAGCGGCTTTTCAGCCAATCACAAACAAAACGTGCGCTTTCATTGGTCAGACTACTTTGCACGTGTTCCTTGAACCAATCATCAAGCTTAAAAAACATCGAAAGCCATTGAAAAGCCCGGAGTACCTTCATAAGGTTTGTGGACGTCAAAGAAATCCCTGGTTATTGGATTGGAATAGTCCTTTCCAAGCCACATTTTACTTCCTCCAGATGTTCCTGGTTCCAGCTCAACTGTTACTCCGTCTTTGAAGTCTGGACAAACCGGCAAATTTAATTGTTCAAGTGTTCCTTCTACAATCATCGCGCCAATTTTCCTGATCTCTTGCTCCTGTTTGCAAAGTAACATGATCACACATTAAATGCCTTTTCAACTTTTGTCTTCATGAAATACATTGAAAAGATGATTTTTAATTACCGTTTTGTTTATGGGTGGAGGCCGAATCGCGGATCCAAAGTCGGTAAGTCGATGTAAAGAGTTGTCCCAGCGACCAAAACAAAGATCAAGACCTAAAACACAACCAAGTTTGAGTTCAGAAGTAAAAATAATCACAGAAATCAAACCAAATTCCCCTAATTAAAATATTTCAAGTGAGATAAATCAGGCATTGAAGAATTGCTTCTACGGGAATCAGGTGATTTAAAGATTTGCACTGTCTTGTCCAAGAGTCTGATCAATAACTGTGTCAGAATTTCAAAGAATTTCCAGCTAAATAACTATGCCATGCGAAGGTTTGACATGGATATTTATTTACCTCCAATAAAAGCTATCTTCTGGTCCACAGCCACTACCTTTTCATGATGAGCCCAATATATGACACCCGACCCAGGGAGGTGGTCTGGGTGGCGCAAAACCTGAAACCAAAACATACAATAAGTGCCAGACTTAAGAAAGATTATTGTTGATTTGCTGCCACACATTTCACAAAGGTATGGTTATGAAAAAGTGCTGAATTATATTCAAAGGAATATTCAGAGGGTGGCTCTTTTCAAATGGTAAATTAAGCCACTGTTAGATCCTAAAATCCTAAATCGAATGGTTTCTTCAATTATGGCTTGCCTGAACTAGAAACGAGTAGCTCCAACAGGCGCCGTTTTCCGTGTACCGCAAAACAAAACGATCCATATGTCATAAACAACAACTTGCAAGCAACGCCGAAATCCAGAAATCCAGAAATCCAGACATCTCAATGCACACGATTATGAAGGCTGCCTCCGCCCTCGTGACCTTGGTAGTAAATACAGGCTGTATGCATGACCACCATCTCAACTTACCAACGGTGTAATAAGTAATTACTCCATTTCTCGAGAGTTAGCTCTCCAACAGAGCTATTCACATCATTCTTCCACCTAGCCTGTTCCAGCTCGGTCAGTGGGGACGATCGAGAAAGCGGGTTGGCGACGAGCGGGATCAGCGACGAACGAGATCCAGGAGAGAAAGGGCGGGAGAGCCTCTCTTTTTCTCTCCCAGACCCCGCTCGTCGCCCACCCGCTTTTTCGATCGTCCCCACTGACTGAGAGTCTGGAACAAGTTATCTTCCAACTCTCCTCCAAAATGATTCTTTTTGTTGAGAAGAATACTGTAATCTTCATTGTTCCCTTGTTGAAAGAAAAACCTTTGCCCTCCTTATTTAATAATTATGGCTAAACCAAATGAACCTGTATGAATGTAAAAGCTCCAAGACTCACATTTGCATTGAAATCTTTCTAATTACACTGAACTTCACCTTTATATTTGGGTGTAAACTCATCAACGTTGTTTTAGTGTACGCACTATTCAGTGTCAGGGCCAGCTCCACCTCCTTGTAAATCAAAACATAAACTTTCACTCCCTCCTCCTAGAAAAAAAAAAATCATGAAATATTTTTTAACGCTGTTTTACATAACGAACTTCCATTCACCACGAAATTGTTGAAATTAAAATCCGATTCCATTTTGGATAAATAAACAATAGCCTCCATTTGGCGCGGAAATATGCTCAGATATTTGTCCGCAGACATTATCTGTTCTGAGGAGCGCACAATTTTCCGAGAGAGTAGCTTGAGGAAAACTGTGAGCTTTGAGGAACAGATAATGTCCAAGGACAAATATCCGAGCATATTTTCGCACCAAATGGAGGCTATTGTGTTTATTATCCTTCAAATATTTTTCGCAACATGCGCGGTTTTGAAAATTGGAGAATATCACTCGGACATTCCCCAGTGGGAAATATGCAGTCACGAGACGCGTGTAGACCAATCGCGTGCGAGCGAAAATATTTGATGGATTATAATTTATAGCTGATGTTTTCCTAACAGCAGAGTTTTCCTTCCTGGGCTGAGATTTACTCACGTAAGAGAAAATCATCAGTTGATTCACACTCAATGTTTTCTAAGCATCATACCAGTTCAGACCAAACTATACATCCTTCCACATCCTATTTCTCACCTGACCGTTCGAAATCTGTACTATGTGCTCAAACGCTTTACAAATACACCCTAATATATTTAATCAATGATAAGGTAGTGCTAAGCTTATAAGCAGAAGTCAAGAGTAAGGAAGTTCTTTTTAACTCCGGTTTTCGCAAGACACGTCAAGGAAATGGTCTTTCATCTTTAAGTGTACGGATGCACTCATGCAAGCAATAATTGGAAAACGATAGATAATTTAAAAGAATGACTCAGTAAATAAGTACCGCTTTTCTCTTTAAGATGTTGTCCAGTCTCCACTCATGGCCAGCAGTGACCGGTCGGCGAAGATAGATCTCAGGACTGACCCTGGTAAAGACAAAGTAATAATCATAATTACCAGAGAACAAATAGTTAATCAAACTTGAAATATGTACAATGCAGTACAATTGTCTGGAATAAATGAAACTCAATGGGCGAGAATGGGCCCGCCAGGCCGGAGCATATCTACAGTTTCCGTAGAATGAAGCGACTAACTGTATTCCTACTCCCTCTTGATCCCTAGCATTACTTTGCTGGTACCATTTATACACCTTGGGTGGAGAGACACACTGTGGGGGTAAAGCATCTCAACAAAGGACACACCAGCAGGAGGGGTCTAACCCGGACTACTCGAACCGGAGTCCAACACACTAACCATTTTAGCCCAACGCACCTTCTATCATGGTCATGGTTGCGTATAAAATAGAGCTTGTACAGACTTAACACTGGTCTCACTCACTACTAAATCTCCTTTATTATTTTGAACATTATGCAATATTAATCCTGCTATAAAGTTAACGGCAAGAGGACCAGCTCCACTCTAGTAAACTCAGTGCTGTGAGAAATTCACATTTACCACCAGCCAGTGATGAAGATTTCTTCTTCTGCAGACTCCAAAGCATCTGCCAGAGCATCAAAGTATGACTCTCCGTCTACAAACCTGCAATGTAACCAGGAATAAACATCGATGATGCACCCTGTGCTATTGAAAACACATGTTGAAAACATCATTGTTAAGCGCACTTGGAGCGATAGTGGAGAAATCAAAGCATAATGGTAAGGCTTTGATGTCAATAACTCTTCAAGATAGTGTTGTGCAACAATCAATAATGAAAACCGTTGCCCCATCACATACTGTGCTAAATGAATTACCTGTAATGGTTTGCATTAATTGTTACTGTCCAGACCAGCTGACATTGTCACTAAATTTATCTTATTCCCAGTTGACTCACCACTGAGCAAAAGTGTTTTCCCTGACAGGGGCATATGAACCGTGAGGATGTTCTTTTATCCAGTCTGCCCCTGTTGTTGCCATAATGTTAACAATTGCTTTCATCCATTCACTGTTGGTGTTATAAAATAAGGCAATAATCTATTAATTAAACATTACTTAAATTTCAAGCTTGAAGTTAACGTTACTTACTTTTTTGAATTCAGACACAGCTGAAATCCCATTGAGACAGACTCACCCAAGACTTAAAATACATGAATTTACACTGACAACAAATAATCATGAGCACTGCAAAACCCACCATCAATAAGCTTTATGGACTCAAAACTGTTGACTAACAAACAGCTATTTTACTTGAGTATGAACAGTTATTCCAATCAGGTAGTCAGAATGTCAAATTGTCTTCAGCTACAGTGACTGTGCTACCCAATTCACCGGAAGCTACATTTTGTACCCTTTGAGCGGTTTTCATTTGAGTGTTGAAATGCAACTGGTTTTGCTTAACTATGCTTCATGATTGGCCTAAAAAACATCCGTGCCACTTTTTCATCCAATCAGGTGTTAAACCAAAACCAATCGTGACTTGCTGGTACATGCTTTCCTATGTGAAACAGGGTTCAAACCCATGACCCCTGCGATACCAGTGCAGTGCTCAACTAACAGAGCTATCAAGCCAACTGGGAGCTGGTCATGTTGTGAGTTTGTAATGTACCTATAGATGATGAAGAATGCAAGTGAATATATGAAAGATCATGCATATATTTGAACTGTGGAGAAAGATACGAAGGCCTCAATAATCATTGCAGTTAATGTACACAACTTAAACAGCTGTGATAGCTCACTTGGTAGAGCACTGCACTGGTATCGCAGAGGTCATGGGTTCAAATCCCATTCAGGCCTGAATTTATTTCAGGCATAAATTTAACAGCTGCTCAAGTGGTGTATATAACTGTGATGATCACTGATGTCTTCATATATTTCTCTGCAGTTCAAATATAATTACAATCTTTCATATATTCAGTTGCACAATAAAAATAGTAATGATAATTTATAATAATGATAATGATAATGACAATGACAATGACAACGACAATGACAGTGATAATGATAATGATAATGATAATAATAATAATATTGCAATTATTGTAATTTTCTTTGTTTAAACATGATGAGCTTGAGAAGCATCAGTCAAGAATAGGTCAAACATCAGGAACAAAAAAGCAAACAAACGAGGAGTTTCTTGATTGCACCTTGCCTTCCTTTCAGTCCAGCATGATAAAAGCAGTTGCCTACAAAATTGGAAATTTTATCAGGTTAACTAGAGTGTCATATCTTAAAAAATTTAAAGCAAAAAGAGAATGGGCCACTTCCCTTCCCTGTGCATTTAATAATACATGAAAATTTACATTTATTTTTAATTATCTCACCTTGCCTGGTTGTGAATCAGCAAGCCTCGTCGCACTCCTGTTTGTTTCCTTCCATACTTGAAGGTGAATTCTTTGTCCATCAACACCACACCTCTGACTTGTTTATCCTTGGGGCTAATTTACAACAATAAACATTCCTCTCACAGAATAATAATTTTATACCATTGCTTCTCAAGTTAAACACTAGACATTACTTTCATTAAGTTGGGTTGATGACTAAAATCAGTTACTATGACTGTACATTTATTAATTTCTCTCAAATACTCAAATATTGTGCTGTGATTGGTCAATTTAGCAGGCTGTTACCGTATGGCGCCCCAAAATGGACAGCTGTTTTAGTTGCCAAACTATTTCATGATTTACTGTAAAGTGTTCTAATCTCAACCTTCATAGCAAGTAAAAGTTAAAAACTTTTGGTTACTTTAAATTGTGTATTACAACGTGCTAACCTCCTACAATCATTTTCAATTGGTAAAAGGTAAAAAGGTAAAGTCTGCATTCAAGCCAAGTGGCCTATCAGACTGGAGCTTATCTTGTTTTCCGTAGCATGAAGGGACTAGGAGTATTTCTACTTCCCCCTGAATGGGATGCTAGCCCACCACAGGGTTACCCCCAGCATTAAATTTGCTGGTAGCCATTTATACACCTTGGTTGAGAGAGGCACTGTGAGAGTGAAGTGTCTTGCCCAAGAACACAACACAATGTCCCCGGCAAGGGCTTGAACCCAGACCGCTTGATTCAGAGATGAGCGCACTAACCAACTGAGACCACCGTGCCTCCCATTAATCATTTTTGCTTTTGTATGTGTAAGTCATTTAGAGCCATGAACTCTACATGAATAGAAATTGTTTTCTGAACATGTGCACTTTGCACTTGGGCCATAAATTGAAGGGAATAGAAATGACCATCTGTAACTTACAGTACGGACCTCAAAATTGAGAGAGGCACTGTGAGAGTGAAGTGTCTTGCCCAAGACAAGATAAAAGGCATTTATTTAATGCCTGTCTAATATTTCTTTTTGAGTATGGGTTCAGGTAAGTTTCTACATGGGTCTACGACCCAAATTGCTTGAAAGTGAAGTGTGGGCTGCCTCCTGTCATTTCTATACAGAGCTTAAATACTTTGACCTGTGAATATATACCTATACAGTAGCTACTCATTTGACTTTAGAGGTTTCTAAGGCATTTCTTTACCTGACATAAGCAATAAAACTATCTTTCACCAACAGCCACCTGTAAAAAAAATTAGTCCCAAATTAGAACAATGAAAGCATGTACAGGTTTAATAACATATTATAGCCATGCATCACTGTATTTGTTTAAAACCTTAAGGTCATTCCTCACATTTGCATTGTGCATCCTTACTGCGCATAGTTTATGGCGTCATTAGCACGTGCTCGTGCACGGGCACA